ATCTTACGATTCGAAACTCGGAGAACTATTCTCACGGAATAGGCCGATTAAGTGGTACTAACGAATTAGTGTACCCCCGGCTAATCTCACAATAACATTTCTATTTTTGATTGGTCGGTTTATTTGAAAACTTTTTTTTTCTGGGCCATCTTTAGCTGTACTATCTATTTGTACTAATGATAATACGGATCCATTACTCGATGAAAATTTTTCATTTGATGAATTACAATTTGTAGTAAAATCTCTAAAAAATAACAAAGCCCCTGGATTAGATGCTGTAAAGGCTGAGATGATTAAATTCCTTCCGATTAATATTTTAAATGATTTGCTATCTTTATTTAATAATTTTAAAACTAATTACTCTTTTCCTATTACTTGGAAAAATGTTTGTTTAAAAATGATATATAAGAAGGGTAATCGGTTTGATCCTTTGAATTATCGTCCGATATCGTTAATTAGTGTAATTAGAAAAATTTTTTCTACGTTATTGGCTAATCGTTTGCGACTCTGGCTTGAGCGGTCTCATACTATTTCTATCGGTCAAGGTGCTTTTGTAGTGAATAGAGGTGTTGGCTATAATTTATTTATATTTCTTGGAATTTTGCAATTAATTTTGACTAAGAAGCGGAGGAAACTATACGTTGGATTTATTGATTTGTCAAAGGCGTTTGATGCAATAGACCATGATATTTTATGGTCGAAGCTTTCTCGGATAGGTATATCATCATCTTTTATTAATCTTATAAGACAATTGTTTTCGAACACCACTTATCAAATTGAAGTTAATCGTTGTTTTTCGGAGACGGTAACTGCCAATAAAGGTCTTCCACAGGGTGAACCACTTAGTCCTATTTTATTTAATTTATTTGTTAACGATCTTCCGGAATTTTTTTGTAATCATAACACTATGGGTATATCCATATCATCGGAGATAGAATTGAATTGTCTTTTGTTTGCTGATGATATTGTAATATTTTCGTATTCACCTATTGGTCTTCAGAAAAAACTTGATCTTCTACAAGACTACTGTAAATCTAATAAACTATTTATTAATGAGATTAAATCTAAAGTAATGGTTTTTCGGAGAGGAGGTAGACTGGGAAAGGCTGATAAATTCTATTTATCTAACTCTGAGTTGGAGATTGTTTCGTCCTATAAATATCTGGGTATTTATTTTACTCCACAGGGTTCATTTTCTTTTCACCTAGACAAACTGTTTTTGAAATATAAACTTCAGCTTTCTAATTTAATAAAGCTTATGGTAAGAATGAAACAGTCTTCCATTAAGTCGTATTACCGATTGTTTGATTCCTTGATACGTTCAAGTATAGGCTATATGTTCCCTATTTGGGGATCATCTTTCGTTGATAAATTGGAGAAGACGCAATTGAGATTTATTAGATCGATATTTCATATTAATCGTTCGGTGCCTGGACCTGTCTTAAGATTTGAACTGGGTCGTCCACCAATGGCTATACGTTTAACAATGATCATTTTTAGATATTGGAGTAAAATTTTGGAGTTACCAGACTATGATCCTAGAAAGTTGATCTATAACAAGTTGAAATTAATAGATGGAAATTCTTCGTTTAAAACTTGGTCCTCCTCAGTTGAAGGCTTATTGAATGATTTAGGTTACTCTACTGATTATTATGCTCAAATTTCTGATAAAAAACTTTTTCTGGCTGAAATGTCTCAGTCATTAAGGGATAAATATTGGACCCAAGACATTCATTATATTGAGCAAAAGTGTAGGTTTCTTGAGACTTCCTTTGTATCTCCATGGACACCTCGATATTATTTATTATCAAATTTAAAATATAATATTAAATCTTTAATAATTCAGTTACGTCTCAACGACTATACTATTGTATTAAATAGGCGCAGAATGAATATATCTGCCCATTCTAACTGTCCATTATGTAATAGACTTTGTGAAAGTATTAAAAACCATTTATTTGTATCTTGCGAAATTACCGAGCATTTAAGAGATACTTTATTGACAACCGATTTTGATATGTTTTGCTTATATGACGACAATTTTAAGTTCTGATATGTTATTTAAAGTTTATAAATTTTTCTGTTATTTATTAAATATGCTAACATAATTCATTATTAATTAAGCTTTATCGTTATTATCATTTATTGTTTGTGTTGTTGTTCTTTTTGAAACCATGTATAACAATCTTTGTATTATTAACGATACACGATTTTGTAACCCCTTTGCAAAGGCGAAAGCCATAGCAAATAAATGTTGATTGATTGATTGATTGATTGATTATATTTTCTTACAACTAATCAACAAATTGTTTTTGATATTTATACACAATTTTAGGTCTAGTCTTTCTTCTTATGAAACCTTTTTTTTCTTCTTTTTGATGCTTCTCCAAACTCGTTTCAGATTTCTTTCTCTGGTTTCTTGATTGAGCATCCAACAGTAGTTAGCTAACATATTGACATCCCATTTTCCTTGGTAATGTCTCTCGATATCACGGACATCCTGGTGAAATTTTTCACCCTGTTCTTCATTGTAGGCTCCCAAGTTTTCAGGAAAATAGTCAATATGTGAGTGTAAGAAATGAACTTTTAAGCTCATCTTGCATCTTTGAGCTTCATACACTGCTGCCAGCATGCTCTGTACAATGGTTTTGTAGTCAGCGTCTAGTATTCCCAAAAAACTTATGCACTACATTCTTGAAAGAGTCCCATGCTTTTTTCCTTTTCTCCCATTGTTTCCAAAAATCTGCTTTGTCTTGATCTCCAAGTTTCAATTTGAAATATGCAAATTAAACTTTCTTCACAAACTCTCTTATGTTTCTTTGTTGACTTTTCACTGTGTATTCACCACAAACATAACAGAAGCTGTCGGGAGAAATTACACAACGTCTGCAAGCCGTATTCCAGAAATAAAAATACAAGCATAGTAGCGTTCGAATGCTGGATATAAACTGAGTGTGGCATTAGATGGCCAGCAAGATATTGAACTTATTTAGCTTGTTGAAACATGATCTAATCCAACAGCAGATTGTTTATATTTATTCCTAGTATCCGAGATAACATGTCAAAACATGCTCAACCTCAACAATAATATTACTCACTATCAACTTTTAACCTGTTTCTATACGATCATGCGACCTTCCTCCTAAAGCTAAAATTACTTAACCCACTTCCCCCTACCACTACTCTCTTCAACCATTAACGTTTTATTTATTTATTTATTACCAAGTCCAGCTATAATTGATAGAATTAATGTGAGAAGTCTTTGTTTTAAGGCCATTTTTTATATAAAAAAAAAGAATACTAAATTTTAAGTTAACTAGGAATTTTATGCTAAATACAAAAAAAAACTTGAGTGTAATAAAAAAAAATTGATGAGATGGAATTTTTTTGGTATTTTTTTCATTTTTACCAAGTTTAAATCTTTAAGAAAATGTATAAAAATCCTATGCAGTTTTTTACTTGCAGACCTCTGTTATCATAACTTTCATTTTACTTTTGTTAATCATCAATCCATATTCCATGCTCTCAGTTTCAAGTCTTTTCATAATATATTTAAGTTCTGATTCACTGGATGCTATAATAAGTGTATCGTTAGCGTACCTCAGGCTGTTAACTTTACAGCCCCTGATGGAAATGCCTTTGCCCAGTTATCTAATACCCTTCTCATGATTATTTCAGAATAAGCATTAAAGAGTAAAGGGGAAAGTATATATTATAATTTAAATCTAAGTGAAATTTTTCTTCAGTTTTGACAATTAGTTAGTTCTTACTTTCATTTTTAAAAAGAGAGATTAATACATTTCTTACAACAAAAAATAAATATAGAAAAAAAGAAAATTTATCATTTGTTTACTTAAATAAGATGACTTATATTGGTTGGATGATAGTTGTTTAATGTATAGAACTTTAAAAACATTTTTTAATCTTAAATAAATACACTAATCTTATATCATTCATCTAACTTTCTTCAACAAAAATATTTATACTGATCTCACATGTTCATAAATAATTGAGACTGAGTAATTCTCCATGAACATCAAATTCTCAAATTTTGAGTTACATTTTCAGTTTTAAATTAGTAATTCATTCCAAGACTTTATGTATTACTATTGTTTTAAAAAATTTTCAGAAAGATGAACAGTTTTATTAAATAAATATACTTGCAATGGTATGTAGGAATGCAAATTCATTTTATTATTATTTAAAGCAAAAGAAAAAAATAAACAAAATAGTTAACATAACTTATGACAGACACCATCTAAATGAGAATGCAGCGTTTTTTTTTATAGCAATCTCAAATATCCAGTTTGCACAGGTTCCAACTCCAGTTTATAGTAGTGTATAATTCCCATTTCCTGAAAAATCAAAACCTTTCAAAAAAATTTAAATTTCAGTGCATAAATTTCCAATTATGAATGATCAAATTTCCAAACATTGGTGTCCACAATCATCAAGGATGCAGTGTAATTGTATTTTTTGTTATGCATTAAAAATTAAGATGATTTTATTTATTTTTTTTTTTTGTACTAAAAAAAGTTTTGTAATCTGAAAATTTTTTTCTTTTTATGTTTAATTTTAAATAAGATACAGCAATGCATATTATCTTCAGGAGATTATGAATAGATGTTTTATTATTTATAACTTAATAAATATAAACAGGTTAGACATCAATTAACACATTCTATTTTTTTGTATTGTCCTCTAAAATGACATTTAAAACCTAAGTTTTAGTTTATCCTGAATTAACTCATTTCTGCAAATTTTCTGTATTAAGTTATGTAATGTAAATCTGATGTGAGATATAAAAACATGTGAATTAGATACGCATCAAAATGTAATTTTGTATTCTGATATTCCAAAAAAAGAACTTTTTTTGTTTATTGGTCCAATATATCTTAAGTATTCAATTTTATAAATTTTATAATCAAATATTTTGTATTAATTAAATTAATTTCTCTAAAATATTATTATTTTCTTAATCATTTCATTTTGCTTTTTAGGAACAAAAGTTTGAGATTTATGTTAAATATTGTAAAAATAAGCCTGAATCTAATTCTTTATTAGTACAACATGCTGGTACATTTTTTGAGGTATGTTTCAATTAATATTTTTATGATTGTGGTTTAACATAGTTACATGAATATTTAGAAAACTATTATTAAAATTGAAAATTTACTAATTAATTCTTAATAACTTTTTAAAAACTCTTCAAATACAAATTGAATCTATTTTAAATTTTTAAATTTGTTGTTTTTATAAAATTAAACAAATATTTCCATTCATATTTCTCACGATTTTTGTTTTCTCTAATATATTTATTATCAGACTATAATCTGACTAATTAATTAGACTAAACTGGTTAAATTAATTTTAATTAAATGTAATGTAAGATAGTGACTTAATTTTCTATCTTTTAGTCCAAATTACATACCTAAGTATTTGATTCATTGAAAAGCATGCTCATAGCAAATTGCTGCATAATTTTGATAATGTCTTGTTTAAGACATTGTACATAGGTGATGCAGAAGTGCACTTCAGTATGTCACCATCTACATATGAAATTGTTATCCTATTTTTTGCCATTTAGTTTTTGTGAGCTTTCAAGTTGATGATATAATTTGCATTTACTATTTAAATGTATTTGAAACGGTAGCCTACTTTTTAAATTGCATAAATATCTTTATTTAACAATGTCTTAGATTTTTAATAAATTCTTTGGTATATTTTCAAACCCATATATATATCTAATAGCTGTTGGGATACCTAGATTTTTGTGATAATTCAAGCTCTTATACATCTTTAACCCAGAAAGAATTTGATAGTGCTTTAGAACAAGTTGTGAGGGAATTGATAGGAAAAAACAAGAGACAAAAAGACTGATAATGACATTTCACTGTCATAATCAGTCTTTTTGTTTGAAGAGAGGGAAGAGTGGGAGATAATAGAAAGTAATCAGGACAATGACTCAAAACAATTGGCTGATTAGACAGATGACTTTGTAGAAGACAAGAATAGTAGAACAAAGTTGATCTGTCAAGAATGTGGTAAAAATGTCTGCATGCTCACCAAAGGGTTAATTACCCAGATTTTAGCCTAGAATGAATTCAGCATTATTATTTATCAATATTGTTTGATGGCAAAATTTTTATTTTGCTCTGATATTTTGTAAACATTTTTAAAAAAGATTAAAATTTGAAGTAAATTTGGTTTATTGATTTTCATATATTTTTTTCACAAATCATGTAAAAGCAATATAAAATGACAAATTTTTTAAATTAAAAATATTATGGTAAGTGTACTAGTGACTTGATTACTAATAGAAATAAATTCCATCTGATGCATATTATATTCAGTACTAATTTTGGTAGAGTAATGAAAAAATGTATTACATTAATCTGATATATTTGCAATTTCCAACATTTAAATTAAAATAATATTCACATTAAGAAATATGTTATTTATAATAGTGATAATTAATTTCCATCATTCTTTTCATGTATTGTTCATTATACTTATTATTTTCTTTACATTTTAATTAATTATTTACATTGAGTGAGAAAAATGACTGAAATAAGTAATACAGTAAATGGAAAAACAATGGAATTAAGATATTTGAATTTATTTGTGAAAATTATTTATTAACAATTGTTTGTTTATGAATATCAGGAAATTCAACACATTCATAATGTTCCTCATCCAATTGCTGCCTATTTGATAAAACCTGTGCAGAGAATTACTAAATATCAATTACTTTTGAAAGATTTATTATCATGCTGTGAAGAAGGACATGGTGAAATTAAGGTATAAATTTTTAATATTTTACTTATAGTAATGTTTTTGATATTTGATTTTTGTGGTTTTAATCCTTTACAAATTACCGAATCTGCAAACTGTCAGATTCAATAAAATTATAATTATTAAACATAAATTACTATAAAACTTATTTTAAAAATCATAAAAGCATTTTGATATATTTTGTTGTTCACTCTTTTTTAAATTATATAAAAATTGAATTACTGTTTTATTTAAATGAATTGTTTTGAGTGCAGACATAGATCACTTTTATAAACAGTCTATCATATGGCCCTTATGGACATATAAACAGACAGACAAACATCTGACAGTTTAGTTTATTATTGTTTATTATTTATTATAACAACAGAAAAGTAAATGATTTGAGCGTATTGGAATGTGATATGATCATTGGTATTAGGTGTGTTTCACTGTTATGCTTAAAAAATCTGAAGACTTTTGAGCATAACAGTGTTTAGGATTTATGCTGGATTTATATTGGAAAAAGGCATGATGAACAAAGAGACATTTAATCAACATTAGTTCTGTCGATGAAAATAGTTTGTTGATGAGAAAGATTGGAGGAAACCAACACAAAACCTGCAAAGAAAGAGGAGGATTCTGACATATAAGTAATAGCTCAAAAGGAGAGGCTCAGGATTGGCTCTCTTGAATTTCAACAAGTTTGATACATATTGTAATACTATCTTATTATAAATCAAAAATAAAGCCACTCGACTCAACTCACAAGCATTTGCAAAAAGAAAATTTTTAATTTTTATATTCATTATAATCACATATCAAATGCATTTTTTCAGCTTAGCTTAGTGTGTAATGTTGCTAACTACTAATCTCAAGTTGACATGTATGCAGGTTTTAATCTTGCTCTTTTTTTTTTTCTTAATTATGTTCAAACAAAATAGTTTTAATAAGAAAGTTAAGTATTTACAAAATTTTAAATAATTTACAGTGCTTGTAATATTACTGTTATGAGTAATTTTTATCATATATACAGCAGTGCTTCTCTGTCAGATATCCTTTGTGTATCATTGCATGGCAAATTATAATTGTTCCATTGTTCTTTTTACTTCATTTATTGAAGTGTTTACAAAAAGACATACATTAATAAAGGAAGTCAGAAATGCATTGAATATAATTAAGTTCAAGGCACATCTTATGTTGCTGAGGAATTTAATAAAAATGCAACAAATCTATAAAAGCAGATTGCATGATACATGCATTAATGCTAGGGATACTGAAGGATTACCATCAGCCTGAAAATACATAATTAAAAAATTGGAGAGCTTATAATTTATGCNTTAAATAAAATATTAATAATCAATTTAAATTATAATTTGGAAAATTATAAAAAAATATATAATATAAAGAACACCACCAAATTTCCAGTATCCTTGGTTCCAAAGCCTTACTAGATTAACCATTTTGCCTGACCCCACAGTTGCTTATAATAATTATAATAATAATTTATCAACACACCTTTAACCCACTAATTATATACCTCTCATATGTCTAAAGTGTACCATGGATTGCTAGAAACTTAAATTAAATTAAATAAATATTAAATATAAATTGCATTTGACATCACCACTGACATTCTCATCTCTCTTAGAATTCATAGCTAGGATTTTAATTTAAGCAAAATAAACTAAGAATATCACCACTAACAAGTGCAGTGTAAATAATGTAAATAAGTGTACCCTATGCAACACAATCTGTGGCCACCTAGGAAAGAAAGTGTTGGTCATCAGATGTTGGAAATTCAGTGGTGTACCTGTATAAATTTGGAATTAAGAAGTAATATTAAACAAACAATAACAATCTAATTTTTATAAATATTAATTAAATACAGTTATTTATAATATAAAATTAATAAAACCATATATTTGGTATTATGATGGAAATTATTCAGGAAGCTTTAAAAACACCAATCAAAAATTATTTTGAATGTCAAATGGATTACACTAAACTTAGGAAATTAAACATTGATAAAAACAAATACTTAGCACCCTCCTTATCAACATTTAATTGTCACCTTCAATATAAACGTATTATTTGGAATGTTTTTTAGAATATATTTAATGCTTTTGTTTTTATAAAAAATTTATGCCTGTGAAGTTGAGATAGTAAGATACAAAAATCACTTAGGTTTTACATATGTAAAATCATTCCAATAAAATGTTTTCTTATTAAGTACAATTTCAAAATCATATTATTTAAAACATTTCTGAAACTGTAAATGAAACATCTCTGGTTAACTAAAATAAATTATACATTAAACTAAATACTTCTAAAAATTAAATTCCTTAGTTTTAGTAATTATTCAGATACCAATATAATAAAATTGGACATTTAAAAAAATCCATTGATTGCGACAATGATCTCTATAGTGTGCTTTTTTCCACAAAATAGTAATTGAAAGTACAGTATTTTATTTCATTCAGTATATAAGAATAAAACGATTAAATTTCATTAGAAAGTGACATGATAAAATTTTCTTATGCTTAAAAATAATTCTTCTAATGGAGATATTATTTGAGAAGAGAAGTGGTAAGTAATTCATAATTGCCTGAAAAATATTTAATCTATCAATTATTTGTCAACAATTAAATAAATATTGAGAGGCATGTTATTTATAAATATGCCAACAACAACAACATATGTCATAAAAGAACCTAATTATTATTAGTTAAAACTAATTAAACATACATATGTTTAATTTTAGCTTGCTTCCAGATTCTGTTAATAAATTATGTATTATAAATTAAAAACACAAACAATTCTTATGATTATTTTTAAATTAAAAAAATGATAAAAAAGTCAATTACATAAAAGAACAATAAAACTGAAAATAAACTAAATACAATAAATTTAACAAAAAACTTAAGAGTTCAAGTAATTCTATACAACATCTTGTACCTATGAAAGATTACATTTTGAAAATAAATATCAATAAGATAAATACAAGTTTTCATCTCTGTTTCAAATTCAGAAAATTCTAAATAAGAATTCGGTTTTTTAAAATTTCTATTCTGTTAATTTTTAAATCAAGTAGTTAGCAAATAATAATTCAAAATTTTTAACAAATGTTTCCTATGTTGACAGTCAGTTCCTGGGAGAGATTGTTATCTCCCATGACTAAAGGGCTGACTAAACCAAAAAGACTCATCATGACACACAGTCAGATGATATTAATCCTTAATCTCAATTGGAGAAAAATAAGTATAAATACATGATACATGCAAAACTCTGGACATAGTACAGTACATCACATCACTATCACTATATCCTCAAGTTAACTTAGTGCCATACTTTAAAAGATTGAACTTCTGCCAAAAAACAGGAAGGTTACAAGTCAAGAATAATATGGAGGTATTATAATCAGTACTTTTGTAAACTCTCTCTCTAATCTTTAGGGACCTATTTTAAGGTTTAATCATAGCTAGATGTATTCAGTTAATTCATTTGTATTCTTTGTAATTCATTAAAGTTTTTGTTAATTTGTTGACTAAACTGGATTCTAGTTTCCTCATGGACTCCTATCACTTACTCAAGTGTCTCCCCACTCAAAATGAGCCCTCCTAATCAGAATAATAGAACAATCATGAGTTAAACTGCGAATTAATAGTTTAACTGGTGTCAGCATCCTGACATGGATCTTGATTTCACAATCTAGATCCTCATTACCACTCATAGAGATCGGATCTCATGATCTGTACAGATTAAGTGGTCAAAAGAATTTACCCGTGACCCTCTTCTTATTTGTATTTAAAATTTTGTTCCATTTATTTATATTCAAATTTGTTTTACCTTATAGTAAAACAAATTTACTATAAGGTTTTCATATTCATATGTTTTCAACCAATAGATTTGGCTGAAAACATTTATTGTATTCTTATTAAATTTCTCAGCAACATAAGGTGTTGTGTCTTGAATTACATTTTACTGGGTTAAGTTATTTGAATATTATCAAGTTGTTGTTTTTATTTTTATGCATACATTTTCAAGAAATACAACATAGAAATAAAAGTCTTTGTACAACCAAAAATTATTTAAAATCTTTTAAATAAACAATTTTCTTGTTAAAAATACATGTTTCATTTGAATATAAATTTAAAATCAATGAAAAAATTAAAAAATAAAAGATTTGAACCTGCATACAGATCTTGAGCTTAGCAGTCAGTGACGTTACACACCAGGCTACAGCCACTCACGGAAAAAATGCTTTTAAGACACAGTTATAACAAATATGATAATGAATATTGAAAATTTTATAGTTGGTTTTCTCATGAATGTTTGTAAGTTGAGTTGAGCAGTTTCATTATTGATTTATAGTAGGGTAGTATTATAATATATCAACTTGATTGAAATTGAGAGAGCCAAACCTGAACCTTCCCTTATCAGTACAATGACAAAGAGATGTACAGGATCAGTCAGAATAGATTTGTTTGTGTTTGTTTCAAATAGATTGCAGTAGCAAATGTATATACTAGTGTGAGAAGCCAGGAGGTAGAGCTTCCAGCTCTAAACGTATTTGATCAACAACAGATTGGTAAAACTGTTCACGTTGTCACTGGATGGTTTTAAATAGAAGGACTATAAATTGAGTGGGTGGGGTTGGCGAGGTCATCGATAAGGCACCAGCGATCCACAAGTAAGAGCAGCCATTTTAAAATTCAACAAGTTTAATACAGCTAAAGGTTACAAACATAAATCTAGGTGCGAGGAATACAGTTTCCTCAATCTAGTACAAATCACTAGAGAGCGTTTTTAGTATCAAGTGAGCATGATTCCTATCAATAATTATTTCCACAAGAGAGAGAGAGAGAGAGAGAGAGAGCATGCATAAGATCAGTTATTTATCATACCTCTGTGCAGCAGGGGATGTAACCTCATAGGCTAATTATCCATGGAGACACTTGGAATGACATATATTTCCTTCAAAAAGTTGTAGATAAATCCATGGGAACTTGCTCACATTGGATAATATGACACAAAGTAAAAAGTTAGTTCCTTGTAGAACAATCGCCCCAATGAATGGGTGCCTGGCCATTATATCCCCATCCAGTGTGGGAATTTGGTCAGGTGATTGTTTGTTTGGCAGCAATGACACATCAAAGGTGTCATAGCTGGACAATGAAAATTAAACAAAGTCGATTTGAAGGTTTAGTATTTCCTTTGATTGTTTTTATATTTCCCCATGGACTAAATTAAGTGTCAACTTTCTCACACTTTACAATTGATTGTTTTAACATATTTTCGTTAATTTTGCAGGTCAGTGCAAGGAGGGAAAGGACTTGTTGATAGTTAAGTTAATATTCCATGTTCTTCCTATTTTTTTCTCTGTGGGAAATGGATGGGAAAGGGAAAGTTTCTAAAACATGTGCTTTTGTTAAAAATTATAGAAAAACAGCCCTTGATTCTAACACTAGAAATCATTATTGTCAGCTGAAAATATGAAGATGAGATTCCAGCAAGCGTGCAATCATCCAAATCCTGACACCTTGTCAAATTAGTGCCCAAGTTCAAATTGTCATGACTAAAATTGGATTTTTTCTCTCCTGTTGGATGTACAAAATAAAAATTACACTTAATTTGTATTGTATGATAAGAAATGACTGAAAAGTTTTGATATTTTTATTGCTAATAATTATTATATAAATTTTATTGCATTAGTGTAATTACATTTGTTTACTGAAAAGAAACAAAAATGACTTAGTCTACACATTCATTATTATTATTATATTTCTAACAAATCAACTAAATGTGCTATTTTGCTGATACTAGTATTTCAGATGTTTTGCCAGATGTTTCATGCGTGTTGTCTAACACTTTTTACAGAAAAGTGTTATACTCTGTTTGTGTTGATCTTGCATTCTTTATATCTATTGCAGTTTTAAAATTAAAATTTTGATAATGAGTTTTTGATAAAATCTCATTTTTTATATTTTAGTATATATATTTTTAAATATAAATAGTAAATTATACATAATATATATTTTTTATAGGATGGTTTGGAAGTAATGTTAAATGTTCCTAAAAAAGCCAATGATGCTATGCACTTGAGTATGCTGGATGGATGTGATGTAAGTAAAAATATAATGATTTTTGATATAATAATTGAAACTATAGTCAATTACTGTCAAAGCTTTAATAAATATATTGTTTATAAATGTTAGCACTTATTCAATCTATACAATAGATTTTAAAATATTTTTGAATAGATAAACAACAACTGTAATTTTTAGATATTAAATTTAGATGTAAATTTTTAGACATAAAATTTTCTGAATACTTTATAGCTGTCAAAAATTTCTATTTATTCATGATTTCAATAGTTGCATATTTTTATGATTAATAAGACAATAAAAATGGGACAGGGAGGGCAAATATTGAGCTCTTAATGATAATGTTTTGAAAACATTACATCAAAAACAGCATAATTATTGCACTGGCTACATGTGTAATGTTGCTTACTTAATTTTGGTACTATAAATAAACTGCAGAATTAACTTTGAATTTGAACTTTATTGTAAACAATTAATTTATGTAGTAAAGTTTATAAGTTTTATGTCTCCTGCTTGATTAGAAAAAAAAAGTCGAACATTTTTTTTAAGTTAAAATTGATATCATGATGATAGGTTATATTCTAAATATATTGAAGAGAGATAATATGAAAAAATGATTATGTAAATTTAAATTTTAGGAAGGAGTGAAATAGTTTATGGTGAGTTTAAGAGAGAAGTTTTAATTCAAAATCTTGTAAAGCATTTGAGTTAAACTGCTTTAAAATATAGAATGTAGATTCAAAATTTACATAAGATTTAGATTTAAATTTTATTCTAAATGTTAATATTAGAACCAGCTGTTTAACAGAATTTAGTCTGTGTAGATTTAATATGATATTGTTTACTTAGATTATTTGAATGTTAAAATTTTTATACTACTAATTCTACAAAAAAATATTTGTACTTTATGGTGGATTAAATGTGATTTATTGTTAATTAAAAAATAGTTTAATAAAAAATTTACTACTAAAAAATCTAAAAGTAATATTTCTGTTTCTCTTAATTATCAGGTAACTTTAGATCTGCTTGGTGAAGTTATACTTCAAGATAGTTTTCAAGTTTTAGAACCAAAATCTCTTATTCGCAAAGGACGTGAACGACATATATTTTTGTTTGAACTTTATCTTTTATTTAGTAAAGAAGTCAAAGATTCAAATGGAAAAGCAAAGTATCTATATAAATTAAAATTATTGGTTGGTTTCATTTTATATATCTATTTTATATTAGTTGTTTTACTTATAATTTTAATTAAGTTATACAAAATATCTGTTTTTGCAGTCTAGTTATTTAAATTATTCCTCCAGTTTTTTTGAATTAACTATTTAAGTTTTACTAAATTATCTTATTTGATAATTTTTTCGTTTATTTCTATTGAAAAAATATTAATAAAGTAATTTATAATTTTAAGATATTTGTATATAAAAAGTTCTGTAAATTCAATTTGGAGTTTCAGAATTCTTTTTAAAATTTCAGAATTAAAATATTCTTTTTGTAATATAATTTATTTTGAACTGCTGAATAGTTTTTATTATTGAATTAAATTATCAAAATTATTTTCAGTAATTAAACATTGATAAATATTAATTTGGTTAATACTGTGAAACCTCAACCTAATGGACTAATTCAGTTAAGGGAGTATCTGTTAAAACCAAAAGTCCATTAATAATAAAGTAAGTTTTCCAAATGCATATGTTAAAAAGTTGACAAATTAATTAGTTTATCTGTTTTTACATATGTAGATTTGTGTGGACAAACGTTTGTGTAATTAAAATTAAGTATATATGAGAAGCTTAATTTTACAGAAAAGTTTTCTGTGTATTATTACTTATGTACTTACCATATTTCTGAGATGAAAAACAGGTATACGATCTAAACCAAAATAAACAAAATGTAGATGGTTTTTGGAAAATACATTTTATTTGTTTATTTAAATTCAGTTAATATTCTAGAGTGATGACTCTTGGATTTGAAAAAAAATTTAAAAATCTGTTAATTTAATTACATATAAAAAGCATTTTGAAATAAACAGTATGTTAATTTTTACATATGACATATGGGACAAACATTTTCTGTTAAATCCAAAGTCCATTAAATTGAAGTTTTACTGTTTTAAGTTTTTATTGCATAATAATTTTGGAAATTATAAGGTAAAGCATTTTGGAAACATACATTTAAAAAAAATTACAAAACATTGATTTGTGTATTTCAGACATCTGAAATTGGTATTACTGAACATGTTGAAGGTGATGAATGTAAATTTGCTGTTTGGACTGGAAGAACACCACTTCCAGAAAATAAGATTATTCTTAAAGTAAGTTTAAATTAATTTAATGAACAATTTAGTTTTCTTTAATGTTTTTTGATTAACTTTGATTCATTTTCCCAACTGATAAAATGATATTAATCGAAATGGAAATGCTTAAAAGAAGAAAACATAATGAAATTTGAATTGAATCTGTTTACAGAGAGAGGAATATTGTTTGAATTATGATTTAATTAATCTCTGCAATAAAATATTTCAAAACAAACACATTTCTTTAAAGTTAGGAGTCATTAGACATCTACTCAGAAAAAGCTATTTAAATGATTTTTTTCATTAACAATACACTAGTGCCAATATAAATAGTTTAGACCTATAAAATAAATTTTGTGAAAATTGTGTTTATAACTTGCTTGATGATAAACTACATTTTTCTAAAAATAAAAAAACATGTTACTTTATAATGGAATGATACTTTATAATACTTTCAGCCAAAATATTAATGGAAAACCACTGAAAGCAAAAGCTTTTTCTTATGTTTTTATTTATATTTCAGTAATTGTAACACTGTTTTTATTGTCAATAGTAATTATGAATTTGTGATAAAATAAAAAATAATTTAAGGATTCTTAAGATTAAAAAAAAAATCTAAAAAATATAAGACTATTTATTTTCTGTTTTTTATTATTATGATCTTTAGAATAAATCAGATTCTGATTTTGCTTTATTAACCTATCCCATGTTGAAAGTTTTCTCCACTGCATGTCATTTCATGTTGAATTTTTGTCTATGTTAAGCCTAATGAAAATTACACGTTTTAGAAAAAAAATAATTATGGCTATTGTATTGTCCAAAATTATTTTTTTATTTTGCACAAACAAAATAGACATATTGAAAAATGTAAAAACAAAAAAAAAAAATTATATTTCAGAAGTTAGTTCTAATATAAAAATCATGACGACTAACAACATCTAGTGTCAAAAACATTCCAATGCAGAAATGCAATATCTCATGTCCACCAGTCAAGGTCATTATGTTTCAGGAATACCACAAGACAGATTAAACATCATACAGAAAAGTTTCATAAATTTGAAATTTATGAAATTTGAATATTTTAAAGTTTTATATATATTTATAATTATTTATAACTTCCAGGCTTCATCATTAGAAACCAAGCAAATGTGGGTGAAGAAATTAAGAGAAGTAATACAAGAAACATATTTCAGTAGTGCTCTATCCACACTTAATTTAACATCTAAATCATCCGTTAAATTAACCTGCAAAACATCTAGTAACAGATCTAGCAGGTAAGTGCAAAACTATGATCTTATATAAATTATATTTTACTGAATACTCTTGAAAATAAAAATTGAAAAGATATTGTAGTTTATTTTTTTTAAAAAATTAAACTAATAATAATTTGAATTTTATAATTAGGGGAATTCAAACAAACCTTATGGGAAATGGGTCCTCGTAGATTTGACTGAGTTTTTGATATTTTGCAGTTCTGGTAGTCTTGATCCAAAGGCTCTATAGACATAAAGTCAAAATAGACAGTTTTTGAATTGTAAAAGATGGAAAAACAGTGTAATTCATGCATGTGTTGGGAAGCTCTAAATCTTTTTTGTTTTAAAATATTGGGTTGTTTGGAAAGTAAGTTCGTTTTTTTTCTGTGGAAAAAAAAAAAACATTATTTTTATATAATAAATAAATATTTTATTGAATTATATATCAACCATTTTGGTCAAATATCTGTTGTCATAGTTTCTGATAGTAGCATGATTTCACATTCATAAAAGTTTTGATCGTTGCTTACAAAAAACTAATCCAAGCGAATTTTTAACATTGTCGTTTTAAGTAAATGTCTTACAGTTAAAAAAAAAAAAAACTTGTATAGACCGGAACAAGTAATAATCTGAGTGTACTTGATCTGGCAAATATGGTTGGTGTGATAATACGTCCCATCTAAGTTATAACAGTTTCTGACGAGTCACCAAACTTGTGTGAAATTTGACATTATCATAGTAAAACACTACACCTGTTTTGTTGATCAATTCTGGCCGCCTTTCTGTTTGATGATATTACTCAATTTGTTTACTCGATGGCAGTACACTTTTGAATCAATTGTTAAATTGTCTGGTGAAAGCTCCAAAAAAAAAAAACATTTCCTTAAAATCCCACCAAAGAGAGCATCTCTCTTTAAGAACATGTGGAACCCATATATCAAGCTTTGAAACGAAACCAATTTGTTTGAAGTAATCATAAACAGTTCAATTTGACAAATTTAATCTCAGTGATTTCACGTGTTGTTATTCAGCAGTTTGCTTCAATCAGTGCTTTCATTTTGTTTTCATTGGCTTCAACTGGCCATCCAAAACGTGGTGCATCTTCAATATTGAAATTGCCAGAACGAAATTTTGTAAACCAGTTTTGGCACTGTCATTCTCTCAACACATCATCTCCATACATGTACCCCAATTTTTTCCTTGCATGAACAGCATTTTGATTTTTGGTAATAAAAAAGCAAAATATGCCAAAAATAATGCTTTCGATCTTCCATATTTGATGGGACACAAAAAAATAAACAATTGCACAGAATCAAACAAAATTTTTTACAAATAAGTCTTAAAATGCTAGCTGTCAAAATATATAATGATAATACGGTTTAGAATGAAAATGGCGGGAAAAATACGACTAATCCATCTAGTGGTAAAAAAAAACGAACTTATTTTCCAAACAACTTAATATAAAGTGTTCTCAAACATTATTGATGTTTAGCTCATTATCATTATGCAATATATGTGAGTTTGATTCTCTCACCATTTGTGTTTATTCAGCACTAGTATATACAGTATACTCCTTTAAGTGGTGCATTGGAGACCTTGCAAGAAAGTCACTCCACTAAGACTTGATAACAGTTAAAAAAAACATTTCCTTAAAATCCCACCAAAGAGAGCATCTCTCTTTAAGAACATATGTGAATTGTGAAAGAGAGCATCTCTCTTTCACAATTCACATATGTTCTTAAAGAGAGATGCTCTCTTTCACAACATATGTGAAAGAGAGCATCTCTCTTTAAGAACATATGTGAATTGTGTTGTTTTGCATCTTGGATGCTTGATAACGCAAAAACTGTTTTATTTTTTGACTCTGTACCTATGGAGACTTTTGATCAGGACTGTTAGAACTATAAAATATCAAAGATTCAACCAAATCCACTGGGACCCATTTTCCATAAGGTTTGTGTGGGATTATTTGAATTGAATCAAATCATCATGGAAATTACATTAATAAGAATAAGATGGAGTGTTATTAATACTTATTTTATTGGAAATAAATTACTAAATAATTTAAAAACATATTATTTTCATTACAATTACTTCAAATATATTTATAACAGTCTTGACATTTTTAGACCTACTTATATATATATATATATATATATATATATGTATGTATTAGTGCAGTGTTTTTCAACCTGTGGGTTGCGATGAAAGCCTTACATAGGGTCGTGGGTGAAAGAATAAGACAAGTGTTTGTTGGTCCTACACTACAATAAAAAAAAACTAGAATTTCAGTGAGAAGCCTGTGCCTGTTTATTTTACAGTACAATTGGTTTTTCGATTGATATTTAAAGAAAACTAGAATTTCAGTGAGAAGCCTGTGCCTGTTTATTTTACAGTACAATTGGTTTTTCGATCGATATTTAAAGAAAGAGAATTAAATATGTAGTTCTTAAAATCACTGATATAGTTTTAATATGGCTCTGGGGGGTCGCCAGAATTTTTTAACTTGTAAAGAGGTCGCATATTCAAGAAGGTTGAAAAACACTGTATTAGTGGGTCTAAATATATGTATATATATTTTAAGTTTTTCCTCTCTGTTCTCATTGTATATGAAATTTTTTAAATATGAAATGTAGAAAAAGAATTAAAATGTAATCACTTTAGTAATATCATAATTATTTTTTGTCAGTAAAGCTAGATGAACAATTCAATATGAACAGGATTCTTTTACTTATTTATATTTGAGAGTTTTTTAAATTTAGATTTGTTTAATTACTTAATTTTATCTATATAAAAACCAGATAAATGAAATCTGATGAATTTTGGTATCATATCTGACAAAATTTTCAGTATCCTGCTAATTTTAGAAAATCAAATTATTTAATGTGTTTTTCTTAATTCTGTAGTATAGACAATATTTAAAAACAATTACAAAATAGAATAAGAGAAATTAATAAGGAGATATAAATATGATTCTTGGTAGTAAACAAGGAAATTAATAATTTTTTCAAAATTATGTTGAAATATTCTTGTTCTGTTTTTTACATTACTGTTTTATTGCAATCATTATGCAACATATAGTTTCATATACATCTTGCTTTTAATACTTGAAATTATATTCTAATGCATGTTTATAAAATTTATGCATCCACTATTAGCAGATCAATTTATAAGTAATAGCTCCATAAAAACGTCATATTTTCTTTGCAATTCAGAGATTTGGAAGATTCCTCAATGGATGAAGGAAGTGCAGATTTTCAGGAGAGAAGTTCAATTGCATCCTTTGGTTCAAGCAATACTACTGATAGTGAAAAGGTAAATGAGAAAAGAAAATAATATTTTGTTAAATTCCTAAATTGTTTTTTTAATAATTTCTTATAATAATAATTTAACTTATAATTTTGAATTCAGTTAGAGGATATTTGTTTCAATTGCTAATCATATAAAAGAAACTTCTGGTCAATATAACAAAAATCCTTTATTTTTTGTCTAAAGCTAGATTTTATTCAGATGATCCTTTATTTTAGGTTATATAAATAGGGAAATGAAAGGTTTGAAATCAAAGGGTTAATGTTGTTTGACTGGTTTTATGTATAATCTACTATAGATTAGGTATGGTTTTGTTTTTATACTATGTGATGAAGTCCTTACCTTAAAATCTGGAAAGAATTGTAAAAGTAGTAATTATCTTTAAAGGTTGTCTGCAAATAACTGACAGTGAAATATGTTGGCATGGAAATTAAAATATTTCCACCAAAATTACACTGAAATTAATTAGTGACTGTTAATGGCCCATGACTTGCAAACATTGAAATTTGATCTCTGACAAGGAGAGGACATGGCTACGTACCAACAGTTTTGATCGGCTTGGACATAGTGAAAGTACATCAAAAATGAGTGAACACATGTCTGAGGTTTTCATTCAATGCACCTTGCCAATATTAATTTTTGATGTTTGAAAATTCAAAAGTTTGTAACTAATGATTACAAGCTATAATGGATGATACATGTCACATGTGCCACATAGTTTGTTAAATGATCATTAATTAATGGCAGTTGCTGAACAGATATTGTTCTGGCATTGATTCCCAAAAATTTTTTAATTATGTAAAAATTATAGAATTTTTGCATTTACATATTTAATAGAATACTTGTCCACAATTGGGAAATAAATGACCTAGTGTATTTATTGTACAAGGTCTGTTCAAAAAGTATCGGACCTTATTTTTTTCCGCGTAAACCAATGATGCGCGAGAGGCCTCCTTTGGTGGAGTTGTGGAGGAGACAGTCATGCACATCTCTGAATTTTTTCCCGCCTGCAGGAAGCGTCAGTCGTCGGCAATCGGCCTATGAGTGAGGTCATGTAGAGCGCTCTCGTCGGATTCCAGTAAGCTGAAAAATGACTGAACAACATGAGCAGCGATATTACATCAAATTTTGCCAAAAACCTTGGCGATACCCAAGTGTAAATCATTCGCAAGATTCAGCAGGCTTTCGGGGACGATCCTCGAGGCCAAAAAAAAGCGCGGCAGGTCTGCAGCAATATCAAAGGTCATGTTGACAGTTTTTTCGACTCTCGTGGGGTGGTGTGTCGTGAGTACGCACCACAAGGCCAAACCATCGCAAAGGAGTACTACCAGGAGGTCCTTCGTCGTCTTTCCGATACAGTGCGACGCAAACGACCGGATCTGTGGTCGAAACTTGGCAGCTCCATCGTGATAACGCATCCGCCCATTCTGCGCATCTGATTCGGGCTTTCGTCGCCAAACACAACACTCCTGTGGTTCGTCACGCTCCGTAATCTCCCCACATGGCTCCGTGTGACTTTTGGCTATTTCTGAAGCTGAAAATGCCGCTAAAAGGAACACGAATTTAGTCGAGAGAAGACATCGTGCTAAATGCGATGGACCGGCTGATGGCCATTCCAGAAAATGCGTTCCAGCAGTGCTTTCAGCAATGGCAGGAACGCTGGGAGAAGTGTATACATTACCAAGGAGACTACTTTGAAGGGGATTAGGGTTTTGTACCTCAAAGTCAATAAATTTATTTTTGCCGACCAAAGGTCCGATACTTTTTGAACAGACCTTGTATATCTTATTGTTAATTTTTAAACTTTATTATAATGGCTTACAAGTTGTAGGATGATATATATCATAAAAACATGTAAAACATAAATATTTATTACAAACCCACATTTTATAAATGGAAACTGAGCATTTACATTTGAATTGTCTTATTTCTTGAATGGGCAGAAAACATATCTGGTTTATGTTGTTAAATATGTTTTGTTGTGTAATCAGTTTTGATGCAATCCATGCATATTTTATCATGTCTTCAAAAACTGGAGAGGATGATTGATGATTAATAAGTGAATGAATTTTTGTAACATTTTCTCTAGTAGATAATTGGTATTTATTCAGCAAAATCTCAACAAAATTCAAAATTTCTTAATGAAATGTTTTACTTGTCAGAAGAAATAGACGACACAATGTTAACAATACATATAGTATAATGAGAAAAAATAATTTTGATAACTGATTCGCAGTTGCCACCATCATCTGTAAACACACTGTTAATATTGCCTAATCTGACTTCCCCATGAATTCAGAACCAGTAGAAATTCTTGATCCTTACAATAATCTAGTAACACCTCTTTGATGAAGCTGCTAAAATGTTCCTTTGTGAGTTTTCCAGACTTTGATGCTGTGACAAATATGTTTCCATTCAGTTCTGTAAGGTCTTTATTACTACTATTAGCATGAGGTCAAAATTTTGTTTCAGTTCTTGCATGCAAAGGAAAACTTCCAAAAGTTTTCCTTTGCATGCAAGTTTCAGGAAAACTTTTGGAAGTTTTCCTGAAACTGTTACGGCATATTGTGCAGTGTAACTATGAGTGACTTTGTTAAAATCACCAAGAAAGACTTCAATTGTTTTTACCTTTTGGTGGGACAAAGTTTGTTGTATATCTATGCAGTATTTGTAACCAGTTTGGTCTGTATTTATTATAAAATAAGAATGAAAATTCAAAATTTTTTTTGCAATTTGCTTCTGGAACTTCTGTGCTTCTTTTAAAATAGTAGATAGATCTAATGCATTTTTTGATTTTATATACTTTGTAACCTTTCTCTGACGAATAGAATGAGTAATCTTGAATTTATTAATCCATCCATGTGATGCTGTAAAGTAAAACTCTGGCTCTTCATATTGGACAGCAGCTTGTGAAGCCCATTGCTATAGTATTCTTGTTGTCACAGGTTGCATCTGCTGTTAGGCTTCACAGAAGTGATTGAAAGTCAACTTGTCAAATTTTTCTATTATACCTCACATTTTTCAATTTGCTTTCTCCATTTTTGTAGGTCTTTTTTAGAACAAAATGCACTACCTCCATTCTTTTGAATGGTTTTTAAACTCCAATTAGGATGTTCTCTTTCCAAATTCAGAATTTTAATTTTTGTGTCAAGCAATATGTATTCTGCTTTTGATTTTTTAGTTTCTGGCTCATAATCTTTACTATCTGACAAAATTGAATATGAAGTGCTACTAGATGGAAGTGATTTTTCTGGTGAAGATGATTCGGAACTGTATAGAATGTCTTTTTCATCACTCTTTTTTGGGATGGTTTCTTTTGGAGGAATAATTCTTCTACTTCGACAAAATCCTATTCTTTCAAAATGTCAATAATAGTTGTAACAAATTTTTCACCTAAAGCCATTGCTTTTTTTGATATAGTTTCACTTGCTGGCCAAAATTTGGATACAAAATTTCAAGCCATCCATAATATCCTGTTTTTTATATGATGTAATAAATGCAATCTCATCACTTTCAGTGTCTGTTGTTGGCAATTCTTTACTTGTCAGTGGTTGATTACAAAAATTTTCCTGTGACACTGCCATTTTACAAGATTTCTGATAGTTATATTGCTTTCTAATAACTCTACTACTACTAATATTTTGAATTTTACAACCAACCTCAGATCCTGCTTCATCTTACTTCAAAATGAAACCAAAACTGAAACTGCTAGAAATATGAGTTAGAATGATAATTCCAATTGTTGACACAAAAAAAAGTGTTTTATTAAATATGCAAATGCAAAAATTCTATAATTTTTACCCAATAAAGAAATATTAAAAATTAAAATAAAAAATAATATTTAAAAAATTTCCAGGAATTGATGCCAGAACAATACCTGTTCAGCAGCTTCTGTTAATTAACGATTATTTAGCAGACTATGCTATGTGGCCCTAGTGAAGTGTATCATTTATTACAGCTTATAACCATTAGCTACAAACTTTTGAAATTTCAAACATCAAAAATTAATATTGGCATGGTGCATTGGATGAATACCTCGGACACGTATTAGCTCATTTATGATGTACTTTCACTATGTCCAAGCTGGTGAAAAACAGTGATTAGCGAGCCATGTTTTCCCCTTGTAAGTTTATTGAAAAGCATTTGGAAATATACCTTGTCAAATTCTTTAAACTCTGCTATTTTTTGCATTTTAATTGATGATAAACTTTGTGCTTAAAAATTATTTAGAATAAACTTTGTTTTAAATGATCCAAAACTCTTTTAATTGGATTTTGTCTGTGGATATTGGTCAGCATCTATTTTACATTATATCTCAGGACTGGACGAACCAAAAATTTTGAAACTTGGCAGGTTTATTTCTATGTGCCATTGATGCTATTAAATTTTAGCAGTTAAAGATAAAGGGGTGAGGAGATAGAGGAGAGGGTCCATGTCAAATTTCGAGTGGGGATCAGACTTAATTAAAATTTTACTCGTTATTACTATTTACAATTTATTTAAGAACTCAGTTCTACCCCAAAAATAAGCCTCTTGCCTTTTTGTAATAATTAATGATATAAAAATTATTTTGTAATAAAATCTCGTAACAGATGATACTACAGAACTTTAGCTTTATAAATTATGAGTGCTAGAAAAGTTGTGCAAGAACCTTTATGAGATTTTTTCATGGATTGTTAAAATTTTCCATGGAGCAGTTGTACCACTGTAGACTGAGATTTGACAAATCTTAGTTTAAACTCTCAATACACAATTATCACCAATAAAATGTAGCTGTAAAATTTATATTAATGTATATTAAGAAAAAAATTATTCTGATGTTTTTATTATTATTAAATTTTTAGGGTGTAGGTGATATAGTGACAGTCATTGAAGACTATGCAGCTTCTCCTGCATCTCAAGAACTAAGTGTTCGTGCAGGTCAACAGGTAGAATTGGTTGAAAGTATAACCCCAAATGTGGATTGGTGCTTTGTAAGAATTGTTTCTACAGACAGTAACCATAACACTCCATCTGAAGGTTTGGTTCCAATTTCTTGTTTGAAACTGCCATCAAATATGAAAAATTCATCATCTAAAACAAGTGTAGAAAACGAAGGTAAAAAGTTAAATTTTGCATTTCTATCATTTTTAAAATATATAAGATACTACATATTCCATATTTTTACTTTTACTTAAGACATTTTAAAACAATATATATAAATTCAATGATAAAATTATTTTAAAATAGCTACATAAATATGAAAATAATTATTAGTTTTGAAAATACAGTAGAACCTCTATATTTGTCAATCTGTTCCTAAAGATCTAACGAATATGGAAAATGACAAATATAGAAACAATTTTTCTCATAATAAATAACTGATATTCAATTAATCTGGTCCCATCCTAAAAAATGATATAAGAACAAAAATTTTGTTGTTTGTAAAACTTTATCTTTATTGTACTAAATAAATACAGTATAGTGGTAGAAAGGAAGAAAGAGTACGGTTATTATTGTTTAGAAGAAGACTTATCGTCAATTAAAACATTAGGTAATTCCAATTATGATCTTGACATATTAAATTCTTTAACTAAGTTGGAAACACTAGAGAGGTTGCTGTTGAAGTTTTCATCTCTAAAATGTGAACGTCGAGCGTTGAGCGCCGCCATCTTGTAAGCATAGAAGTTTCATAATGGCGTTTGGAATGTCGAGCATTATTCCAATAACATTCTGAACGCCATTGTCAACCTTCTAGGCTTACAAGATGGTGGTGCTCAATGTTCACATTTTAGAGATGAAAACTTCGGCCACAACCTCTCTACTTTGTCCATTTTCAGACTTAGAAATAATTTTTTTATCTCTATTGTTATTCTAACAGCTTTCCTTTTTTGCTGTTTTTCTGCAGTGCGCTTTGTTGGAGCCATTGGAACTTGAGTTTTTGAAAATAACTAATGTGAGAAACCAAGAACACACACCTTGACCGCACAAAGCACACTGATTAACTACAGTTAGCTGACATAGTGTTGCCAACTCAAAATTAAATTTATAGCTAGACATTTTAATAAAAATATTCAAATCATATTGTTTCCATTAAAATTGTTTGAGTTTTTGTAGCTAGATAGCATTATAAAAATAGCTAGGCCATTATAATTTAGATAATTTGCATAGCTAGAATGTTCATAAATCCATTAAATCTAGCAATAAATTAGCAACATAAGTTAACACAGCTAGCTATCGGTGCGAGTGTGTGATTATAGCACCACTGCTGGTGTAGGGAATAATGACGAATACAGAAAATATTGACAAATATGGGGGGAAAGTCATCAAAATGTGACGAATATAGAGGTTCCATTGTATATATAATTTTATAATTGTTCATTATTAATTGAAAATCATAATTTAAGATAAAATTAGGCTTAGCCAAGATATATATAGCTGCAGTTTGGCCACTATATATATATTATATAGTGGCCAAACTGCAGCTATATATATCTTGGCTCTATATATATGATGGCCAAACTGCAGCTGTGATCTGTGAGCCACATGAACACTTGCAACTCTTCTAGACACTTAATACAGCTTCTATATAATGTAAAATTTATTTTTATAAACTAGATATAATACCACTTATGCATAAGTAACTTTTCTGTAAGTTTGCTCCTATGTGGTGTTATATACATATGGATTGAAGATACATTCTTATGAATTGTTTATACTTATTTTAAGAAATTGGTGTCCCAACTAAAAATCCATAAACCTTGTACCAGCAAGTAATGAAGAAGGAATGTGTGTGTATTTAGATAAAAAGAAGAAATTAATTTATAATAAACCTATTTTCTCAGTTTTTTAGATAGCCTTTCTTAGAAATGTGTACAAATGTATGCATTCTTAACCCAACATTTATATTTACATAAAAGCTTTTAATGCTGAAAAACAATTGTTTAGTGTTATTTGTGTAATTTGGCATCAAGTAAGTGTTCAAACTTTATTAACATAAGTGATATTTACTGTTTTAATTATACTGTTCCAATAGAGAATGTGGTTCTTGCAGAATTCTGATAGGAACCATATATTGCCTGTCATGACAAGATTTGCCCACCTCTGATATATATCAGAGGTATATATATACCTCTGATAAGTATATATATATATGCTGTATATAATGATAATGTATATATACTTCATATATATCAGAGGTGGGCAAATCTTGTCATGACAGGCAATATATATATATATTATATATAAATATATATATATACAGGGGTCCATACAGACCTGGAAAGTCAGAGAATAAGATTTTTAGCAGAAAAAGTCATGAAAAGTCAGAATTTGCAAATACCATGGAATCATCTGTTGCTCTCTCTGCCTTTTGATCCGAACATGTCTTTAAATTCCGTTAGGTATAGGGAGGTTTATGAAAACCAGAGTGACCAATCAAATGACAAGATTTGTCATGATTATATCTCATAAACTATAAATGATAGTTTTGCTATTTAAATTTTGTTGGATAGAAGGTTTATGTTTATATTTTAAAATGGTGAGTAGTGGGGGTGTGCAGCCATGCAAAGAGGGGTAGTAGTTGCTCATGAACACCAAAAATGGCAATGTGGTGCAGCATTTGGGCAGCAAAACATTGGATGGAGAAGAGATAGGACAACGAAATTGGTGTTGATATGTACAGAATGACAGGATCTACAATATTATTTACAATAATAACTGATAAAATAAAATTTGTGAAGTTATAAGCTGATAGCTGAGCAAGTCAATGAAAATTTTCACAATGCAAAGGAAATACAAACAGAAATGTAAGAAACATATATCCTTGGAAACAAAAATTTAAAAAGAATCAGAAAAGCCCAAAATGACTAATGCTGAACAATACAGATTGTATAGAGAGCATAAGAAAACCCAGCAGTTCAACTCCAATGCGAATACTTCAAGTGTACTGCTGCACAAACCAATAGATATTGACTTGGAATGTGATAACCACCAAGATTTTATTCCTTTACATTTTATCCTTCTTTTAATACCGTGTTTCCCCGAAAATAAAACATCTGCAGAAAATAAGACCTAGCACAGATTTTGCTGAATTGCGAAATATAAGACCTCCCCCTGAAAGTAAGACCTATCGAAGTTTTTTTAGTCGTAACGGTCATTGACAAATGGTTGAAAGTGGCCGTTGGCTTTTTGAAAGTACAGCCACTGATTGGTCATCAGACAATTACGCAACACGGCATGATTTGCATAAGACTATGGCTTGGGAATCACAGATTTGCATAACGTTACGGCTGGTGATGGCTAATTGGTCGGCCGGGAATCACGCCACATGACATTTGCATAGTGCTACGGTTCAGTAAGCACTAATTGGTCATCGAGTCCGATGTTGACGCTATAAAAAGGCGACAGTTCGACACACCAGATATACGTCACTCTCGTCTAAGTTCGACTTGGGAATTTTTTTTGTTCAATAATAAATGTGAATTCTTCTTCCTGGAAAAAATAAGACATTCCCTGAAAATAAGACCTAGCGCACTTTTCAGAGCAAAAATTAATATAAGACACTGTCTTATTTTCGGGGAAACACGGTAACACAAAGATAGATTCATGCCATAAACGATTGCAACTGTGTCTCATACACAACCCTCCTAATTTTTTTTATTTGTGTATTTGGTTAACCCTTTGCAGTCAGTTGATGCCATGGGGGAAGCAAAGAACTGTCAGTTGGCTTAATGATGTTGTGTACAGGACATTTTGGACTGTGTGACAGACCTCATGCAATTTATGTATTTTTATTCAATAATCCTGCCAATTTTGATGGATCTGTGATATGTCTTCTCTCTAACTGCAAATTTTCATCATCAGAGAGCCCGTGGAATTTTGGAAGTATACCAAAATATCACAGTAGAGTTAGTCGGGTTTTCAAAAACATCGATGACGACCCACTTTCCTGCCAAAACTCTGCCACTCCCACTGTAAGTGGAGGGATGGAAAGATATGTAATGATCTTGAATGGGTTCATGCTGGACCAAAAATAGCACCTCTCACAAAGTGTGTGACTTTTTTCTGTGTTAAATTGTTTTGAATTTCTTGCCTCCTCACTTTAAGAAAATTTGATTTTATGACACAAATTTTTTTCTTAAATTAATTCATAAATTTTATTTAAATAAGTTGAATGTGAAATAATATAACAGAAATGACGTAGCTAATTACATAATCAATTTTATGCAAAGTTTTTCATTTTTTGTAAGTGAATAAAGTGTTTTAATAAAAAAAATTTATATAATTGTGTACAAAATGGGCTTATGGACTTGGCTGAATATTACATAATGGAAAGGGAAATGCAGAGATGTTAATAAATCAGGGAATAATGTCATAATTGGTCAGGAAATCGAAGATGGAATTACCTGTATGGACTCTGTATATATATAATGTAGTAAATTTGATTACTACATTTAAATAAATTTATAAATTTATTTAAATAAATTTAGTATTTGTGTTATCTTCAGTATATAACATTTATTTAAAAGTAAATACAAGTTTTTAAAATTTTTAGTTTTTTATTATGGTATTTATTAAGGTATTTATTAAGGTACAATCTATTACTATTAGTGTTATGTTGATGAACTGTGTCACAAAAGATGATCTAATAAAAGATTTTTTCAAATGCAGATTTTTGTAATGATAAAATAATTTACTAGAAATAGTTTTTTTATCAATACAGAATATTGTAATATATGTAAATAGGAATCACTGGTTCTGTTAATAGAAGCAGAACCAGTGATTCCTATTAAATGAAGTTTTGAATCAGTTAAATTATAAAATTATGTACATATCAAGTACTAAATTTATGTTATTATTTTATATCCTGTTGTAATATTTTATGCCAGAAATAACGCATAAGAAAGTCTAAACAGAGATAAAATGCTTTTAATTTTTTACAGCACAAACAAAAATAATTTAATTTTAGAAAAATCTTCATAAAAACCATCATTCATTGTTGGATTTTATGAGTATTTTTCTCTAGAATCCAGCATTCAATGTTCTACTCGCTACATGTTTGAACAGACACCCTTTGCAATTCAAATAACTATGCTCCATTTCAGTCACAATTTCCA